ATCGGTTTCACTGCCAGTGCTCAGAGTGTCCGCCCCTTCTCTGTCTGTGGCGCTGGGCAGCCTGCCATCAGTGGTGCCTCCTGGGGGCTCGGCGACATCCTGCAGACAGCCGAGGTCACTCACGTCACCCTCGCTGTTGTTCGGAGAGTCGGAGATGAGCACGCTCTCCATCATGTGCTCGTTCAGCTTATCGACGAAGCGGCGAGAGTCTTCGGACAAGGGATCCTTCTCGTCAGATCCAGACTCGTCTCCACCAAGATCAATGGTCTCCTCGTGATACAGCAGCTGGCCCTCCTCCCCAGACGCTGCCCCAGGGATAGGTTCAGGCCTCGCCTGGGCTGGAGAAGATGTCTCACTTGGGCTCTGTTCACCATCTTTAGCTTTTTCCATGTTGCCTGAAAACAGAGGCAGTCACAAATCGCATCATTGTCTATTTCTAGTGTTGGCAAGTAACTTGCTTTTTTTTTTTCCGAGAAAGGATCTCATATAACCTGGGTGGACTTGAACTCATAACCTCTGCGGTTCTGAGATGATAGGCTGTGTGCTACCTAGATCTTGCTGCTCAGAGGAACAAAGGTTTTAATAGTTTCACATCCAAATAATATAAAATTAGAAATTTCTCTTTTTCTAGTTTACTTATTTTGAAGTGATAAAATACACACAAATTCACTGCTCAGCATTTTTAAGTTTGCGCATTCTTGTTGTTGTCTAATCAGCTGCTAGGATTTTGATCATCTTGCAAAACAAAAATTCTATACCCATTAAATCTACCCTGAAAGCGGAGACTGCTCGTTCATTCCCATTCACCCAGACCAAAATAATCATGCAAAAACAATATTAATTACAACACTGTTTGGCCAATGTGTCAGGCGTATTTTTAGCTAGCTCTTACATGTTAAATTCACCCATTTCTATTATTTTATATTTTACCTTGAGGCTCGTGGTTTGTTACCTCTTACTTCTTGGGCAGCTCCATGGCATCTGCCTCCTTCGTCAGCTACAAGGCATCTGTCTGACTCTGCCTACTCTCTCTGTATATCTCTGTTAGGATTTCCTGCCTGGCTTTACTCTGCTAAGTCACTGGCCAAAACACCTTTCTTCATCAACCAGTAAAGCAACACATATACAGAAGAACATCCCATAGCACTACCCAACCCCCAACTCACACATGGACAATCAACATCCTACTTCTGTTGCTTTTAAATTTCCAGGAAGTACATTTAAATAGACTCATAAAGCACTCATCCACTATAATATATAGTTATCAGTGCCCAAGTGCTGTCTGCCCTGACTGCAGGATCCGCACCCCTGCCCCCTCAGGCCCAACCATGTCTACCTCATAGTGTCCTCCGAGGGCCCTTGCCTACGTACAGGCTGAGAACAATAACACATCTTGATGGTAAAAAACATGCTCTTGAGAAGAGACAGAAGGTAACCATTGGCAAGAGACACCGTGAGACTCATTCATGAAGGACGCTCTGCCCTGCCCAGGACCCTCCATCCAGAACTCCAGCATGACTGGCACTTCCCCTGCAGATTCTGCAGTATGTCGTGAGTACCAATTTAATGTCCTTTGTTCACACTCGGACTCCTTCAGTCTTCTCTGGTGGACGTTGTGGGCTCTGACTGGATAAGGTTTGCTGCCTGCTTGTTCTTCTGTCTGCTGCATGCTGTTTGCTCTCTTGCTTGCTAAATGATCACCCATTTGAACTGGGATCATGGCTATCATAGATCATTCTCCACACTGTACCGAACAGCCATGCTGCAGCACGTATGGGCTTTCCTTCCCTAGATGCTCTGTTATTAAACAGGAATCATGGCTATCATAGATCATTCTCTACACTGTACCGAACATCCATGCTGCAACACATATGGTCCTTCCTTCCCTTTGACAGGTGACTAACATGTACTGCAGGCATGTGGCAGTTTGTTTATCCATTTACCCATTACCAGATACTTGGGTTCCTTCTAGCCTCTAGGGACCGGGCACACTGCTGCTGTGAACAGGATGTGTGAATGTATGTATCTTTGAGATTCTAATTTCAGTTCTTTGGTATACCCTGTTCTAATGGGCAGAGATGGAAGTGCTAGATCAGAAGGTAATCATGCTTTTGTTCGTGTTTTTGCTTTCTGAGACAGAGTTTTTCTATGTAGCCCTGGCTATCCTTGAACTCACTCGGTAGACCAGGCTGGCCTTAAACTCAGAGATCTGCTAGTCTCTGCCTCCAGAGTGCTGGCATTAAAGACATATGCCACCACCAACTGACAGTAATCACCTTATTATTTTAACAAGGAACTAGTTTTTCCAGTTCAATAGAAGCCCTTTTTCCATTCCCTGCAACAGTGTACATATACCCCAATTTCACTACATAATGGCTGACTGATATTTTTGTTTTTACTTAGCTTCCTGCCCCCAGACAGCGTTTCTCTGTGTAACAGTACTACCTGTCCTGAACTTGCTTTGTAGACCAGGGTGGCCTCTAGCTTACAGAGATCTGCCTGCCTCTGGCGCCCCCCCCCTCCCCCAAGTGTGTGCCACCACGCCTGGCTTTACTTAGCTTTTTCTTATGTGTGAAAATTTGTTTTTATAAATCAAGGACTTAGGTAACCTAAGCCGGCCTTAAATTATGTGACAGAAGTTGACCTTGAACTCCTGATCCTCCTGCCTCCACAACCCAAAGGCTGGTACAGGTGCTGCACCAACACCCCCTCCTACTGTATTTACTCATTTGTGTGTATAGTCAGAAGACAAGTATCTGAAATCAGTGCTCTCTTTCCACCACTATTTCTCCTTCCTTCCTTTTCTTTTGGAGATGCGGGGGTCCCCCTACTTAGCCCAGGTTGACCTCAAACTTGCAGTCTTCCTGTCTCAATCTACCGAACGCTGGGTTTACAGGCACGAAACACTTTGCCCAGCCAACACGACTCACTCTTCACTGCTCAGGTTAAGCCCGTCTCTAAGGCCCCTCGCGTTTGGCTTACCGCGGTGTTTTAAGTGTGGGGATATGAGACACCGAGGAGGGCAGGAGCAGGAGTTGGGGTAAACAAAACCGTACCATGAGCAATGGTGATGTAACACGGGTTTCTACTATACAAGCACATGAACCTCGCTCTGTACACGAGAAACTGAGGCCTGGAGGGCGTGTACCTTGTCTAAAACCACAGTGGGCACAGAATTGGCTAAAGTCAACAGGCAATCCCTGCTGGGGCTGCCACATACAGACTGGCGGGTCCCAACCCAGCGCGGAAGAAGGCGGTGACTACACGCGGAAGGTCGAGGGCCCCGGCGACCCCTCCTGACTGCGGCCCACTCCTCACCTGCCACCCGCTCCCGGGGGCGGATCCCACTCGGGTGAAAAGGGTCCGAAGAGAGGACTGGAGACCGGAAGCCGACTCAAGATCCAAGCGCCCATGAACTTGTGCGCCTGCGCGTGCCGGCTAGTTAAAGCCCGACTTCCGCATAGGCTCAGTTCGGGAGCTCCCACTGGAAGCCGGAAGCCAGGCACATTTCCGGTCCATGAGCGGTGGGCGGGACATAAAGCCCCAAACATTTGGAGAGCGAGAAGGGTGGGCCCAGTGATTGAAGGAAATCATCCTCCCTTGGGGCTGGCTCCAACCAAGGATGATTTCCCCTAGGACCTTGTCTTTGCGCTTGCTGGTCTCCACTTCCCCACCTGTGTCTGTGGCAGTGTGTGCTAACGTCCATAAAGATGGGGAGTAGGGATGGTCAAGAGTCAGTTCCGCCTGCTTGAGTGGGTTGACTGAGTACGGTTCTACAGTCAAGGACTCCTCTTTCTTGATTTCTAGTGTTATCTCAGAAAAAGGTTGTGACAGTTTGAAAACACAGCTCTCATCTCAAAGGGGATTAAGGGCTTATTCTGGAGCCAGTGATGAGTGACAGCTGGGAACATAGATTCAGGTTACCTTGATTAAATTCTGCTGTCTTACATGGTAACAATTGGATGGACTTTTACAGTCAGAATAAGAAGTAAATCTAAATCGATACACTTTTCAAGCATGCTTTGGAAGCATTGGGTAGCTGGGTTACAGCCAAGCGGCGAACCCTCTGCTATAACTGATGACATTTGTAGAATTGCGATTGGTGGAAGACAGTGGCCAGAGATTTCCCCTGGAAGTCACGATGTTGGACACAGAGGTGACCAGTGGGTGACTGCTAAGGGAACTAATGGTAGTGTCATATAAACCGCTGTCATGAAGGTCAGTCCGAGATACTGGGAAAAGTCACAAACACAAAAGAAACGTGTGTGAACTCCATTGAGCCAGTCCAGTGGATTCCCTGGGATGCATTCTTATCTTCCAGTACTCTCCATGCCAGAACAGGACTTAAGAGACTTCTGTCTGTGGGAGCTCTGGGCAGTATAGATCATGGCGCAGTTGTGTCGCTGTGCAGGACTGGTCTCTCATGGGAAATGGACACAGCTGCCCTTCACGGCTCCCGTACACCGCTGCCGTCTTGACTCAAAATTGTAGCATCTTTTTGTTTTGTTTTGTTTTTCGAGACAGGGTTTCTCTGTAGCTTTGGAGCCTGTCCTGGAACTAGCTCTTGTAGACCAGGCTGGCCTCGAACTCACAGAGATCCACCTGCTTCTGCCTCCCAAGTGCTGGGGTTAAGGCAAGCGTCACCACCACCCGGCAAGCTTGCAGCAGCTTATCTTTAAACGGACGTTTAAGAATCTGCCGCTGAGGCTGGAGCAAAGGCTGCTGGCAGTGGTCTGATGCTCAGGACCATGTTTAGAGTTAAGCATTGCCAACCATAATGCCCATTTAGCTGCTCTCTTTAGGACGTGGGCCGCGGAAGCTCCAGGGAGCAGGTCGGGAATGCTAGAGCGCCGCCCTAGTGGCCGCCCGTCCAGCAGCATTTGCTCCCGGTCCCGCCCTCCGACCCAGGAGCCCCCGCGGCTCCTAGCCGGCCTGCGGATCCAAATGAGCATGCGCGCGAGAAAAGCGCCTCCGCCATTGGTCGCCGGGGAGGAGCGTATTGACGACGCCACGAAGAAAACAGGAAGTGACCCGTCAGGGAGCCGGCCCGGGGCGTGGAGCCTCTTTTTCTCAGCGGGGAATGAATGAATGGGTTCTAGCCGTTCGCCGGTGAGGCCGGACTCGGGCGCTGAGGCGTGAGCGGAAGGGCGAGCCGTGTGTCATGGAGGACGACGCGCCGGTAATCTACGGCCTGGAGTTTCAGGTGGGCCTGGAGGAGACCAGAGGTCGGTGCCGCCTGTGGCTGACCCGCACCTGCGAGCGTGCTCACACTGACGGCGAGGATTCTGGGCTTCCCGGGCAGGGTTTAGGGAGAAGGGACCCGCTTGGAGGGTGGCCGAGTAAGGCCGAGGGCCGGCATGGACCCCAGAGGGCGAGCGCTCGGCCCGCAGGTGTTTTAATCACACCCGCACTGCGGGCGTCTTGAGCAATTCTGAGCACTGACGTGTGTGCTGGATACTGCTCTATACAGGACCGACAAGGAGGGGCTTTGGAGGGGGGGGGAAGTGCTGGGTGGGTGTTATTAAACATTTTGCTCACTCAGGTTGGAAACATATTTGCTTTTTTTTTTAAACCCCATCCAATAACTGTTGAATTCTATTTGTTTACCTCCCCCCCCCCCCCGACTTTACTCTTATTCGTGATGTGTGCAGTTTAGATTACTGATTGGAGTGAGTAGTGGAATGGGGTTACTGTCTCCCAGTTTATTTCACGGGTGGCTGTGATGATTGCTAAGTGAGATAGCCCCAGCAGTTAGGGTTAGCCTCAAGGCTCAAAGTTCGCAGCAAGCTTGACCTAACTGAGACAGCGCGCACACACAAGCGTTCGATGAACTGTGTTCAGATTGCTCCATACTACTCACACGGAGTAAGAAACAGTAAACGCCGAGGAATGCCTGCCTGCTGTATGAGTACAGGAATAGTGGAAGAGAACAGGAGGATGCTGACTTAAAATCTGCACGAAGTGACACACATTAAATCGCAAAGCCAGAGTGCAGCAGTCTCGTGCTAGGAAGGGTTGAAAGGTTATCACTGTTGGGAGGAGTCAGGGGATGCTACTGGGCCTGTGCCGGAGACAGCCTGCTGTTTCCCAAGGAAGCCTTGTGCTTGGGAGCATTACAGATGTGTACTTTTCAGAGTTTTTTTTTTGTTTGTTTGTTTTTAAGATTCGCTTATTTTTACTTTATGCATATGTTTTCCATGCATGCATGTATGTGCCCCACATGTGTGCCTACTTGGAACTGAGTTACAGATGGTCCTGAGCCACCTGAGATGGGTACAGCTCTTAGCTTCTGAGCTGTCTTTCCAGCACCTTCTTTACTTTTATTTCTTTGGTTAGTTACCCTAAAAGTTTTCTAGATGTTGGGTAATCCTTGAATTCTGAGATGGGTTTCCCATGCTAGATCCAGCTTACTTAGTGACAGTTCTCCAGAAGTTTCTAGTTTTTGTCGGCATGTGATTTTGGTGGGGATGGCTTCATCTGATCTGGGAGTTCTCACGCTTCAGACTGTGGAACAGTCAAGGTGGCATGTCTTACCTGCCCCTGGGAACAGTCAGGATGGTTTGTCTTACCTGTCCCTGGCCTCTCATTCTCGTATCTTCATGGTGTAGTTCCTGGTCATAGCTGTTCAGGCTATGTGTACCAGTTGTGAGCTGCCCTGTGGGTGCTAGGAATTGAACCTGGGTTCTCTGCAAAGCAGCTAATCTTCTTAACCCCTGGGCCATCTCTCCAGACTTTCTTTTTTTCATTTTTTGAGATAAGCTTTGGTAGCATTTTTCTGGTGGAATCTCTTCATTATTCAGTTGACGTTATTCATTTGTTTTAGCTCCCCCGTCCCCAGAGTTTCTCTGTGTTGGTCTAGCTCTGGCAGTTCTGTAACTCACTTCTGTGGACCAGACAGGCCTTGAACTTAGAGACCCACCTGCGTCTGCCTCCCAAATGCTGCAATTAAAGGCTTGCACCACCACTGCCTGGCTTAACTTGCTTTTCTACTGTCGTGATACACACCATGACCAAAAGCAACTTGGGGAGGATGGGGTTTATTTCATTTTCCAGGTCCATTATGAAGGGAGGGCAGGGCAGGAATTTATGGCAGGGACATGGTGTTAGAAACTGAAGCAGAGACCATAGAGTAGTGCTGCTTACTGCCTTGCTCTCAGGTTCATGATCAGTTACCTGTGCTGCATCTCCCAGGACCACTACCCAAGCGTGGCACTGCCCACACCAATAGTTAGTCAAGAAAATGCCCCACAGACTTGCCTACTAGCCAATATGATGGAGGCATTTTGTCAGTTGAAGTTCCTCTTCCCAGATGACTCTAGCTTGTGACAAACTGACCCAAAACTGACCACGACATCAAATAACTACATCGCGCCTACCGTGTGCCAGGCCCTTTGAGTCACTGGATCACAGCAGAGTTGGGAACAGACAAGTTACAGCTCTTGTGTATTCCATCCATCCATGTCCAGGGCAGGCATGTTTCTGTACACAGAGTTTCAGAGTCCAGGTGATCAGTGCTTTTTGTGGTGCTGGGGTGGGACTTGAGGGCTTCCGCATGGTTGTACAATGGTCTGCCACTGAGCTATGGCTTGTTTAAAAATTCATCAGGTGGCCGTTTAATATATATATATATATATATATATATATATATATATATATCTTCCTTCTTTCCCTTCCCTGATCCTTTGGTTGTCTGCTCTCCATCACTTTTACTGGCTTGCTCTGCTGGTGCCTTGATGAGGAGGCTGTTTGTGCAGGAAGTCTGTTAAGTGCAGGAGAATGCTCACCTGGCCCTGCTCCCTGGTTAGAGCCCAGCCTTTCTTCACTGCTTTCCTTTCTAAGTTAGCATTACTCTTTCAAGGCCACTGCTTTTAGGTGCATTTGGCTGTCTGCTGTGTAGTTAACCATGTATTTCACACTTTAGGAAGCAGCCAGGTGAGATGATGTTTTTCAAGGGAGTGCCGTAAATTCCAAGTTCCTGGTGACTATTTCCCACCATTGTCTGGACCCTTCAGTCTGCCAGCCCCTGTTATTTGTTTGGGTTACGTCATGGAGACCACAGACTAGAAGTTTCATTAAAAACATGCCCAAGTCTTTCTGCATGAGAACAGGGGGCACATGAGCTTGTAAAAGGTGTCTGGTGTTCTTACTGCAGCGACATGTCACCTGCCTCACTGTAAGAGCTCTAGGACAGCTGGACATTCTCCTCTTCTCCAGACATCGACGTAGTGGAACCTGTTAGATTATCTTTCTGACCAGACCAAACTGCTAGTGCAGGTCACTTAATTTTGGTTAATGTCCGTAAGTGGTGGCATTTAATCCTCATTTCTGCCTACTGTTGAACCAGACACTGATTTTGCTGCTGTGGTCTGTGTCAGTGTTTCTGATCCTTAGTACTCTTCCAGTTTGTCTCTGGCCTTATAAAGTGTTTGTTTTCTTTTTTCTTTTTTTTTTTTAAATATTTATTTTTTTATTATGTATACAATATTCTGTCTGTGTGTATGTCTGCAGGCCAGAAGAGGGCGCCAGACATCATTATGGATGGTTGTGAGCCACCATGTGGTTGCTGGGAATTGAACTCAGGACCTTTGGAAAAACAGGCAATGCTCTTAACCACTGAGCCATCTCTCCAGCCCAAAGTGTTTGTTTTCTTTCTGCTAATGGCTTACTAGAAGAAATTGACATAGAGCAACAGACCTGGTACCAGATTGACGAGAATAAAACAACCTTAGGAATTCTGCTTAACAAATAACCTTTCCTAAAAATGGGAAGATCTCGTTTAAACTTTGTGTGAGACTTTTACTTTTATAAACATATTTTAGATTTGTTTTTGAGAATAATTTTCCTTATCTGTTTTTCCAGAAACAAAACAAAACACAAGAACACATCCATGTATTGTATGAATTTGAAAAAAATACTTATAGGTCAGTAATGCCATTCTGAATTCTGGCAGCTTGTGTAAACAGATGTTTCTCTGTCCTATCCCATCCTTCAGCCTATTCTAAGTAGTCACTTAGAGGTTTAATATTAATTACAAACTGCTTTACCTATAGCTCAGGCTTATTATTAAGTAGCTTTTAAATTTAAATTAACTCATTTCTATTAATCTATATATTGCCACATGGCCATGGCTTTTATGCTGGCATCTTGTTTCTTGGTTGGCTGCTCACATCTCTCCCGACTCCGCCCTCTCTCTCTGTGTTCAGTTTGGCTTTCCTGCCTAGCTATAGTCTGCTTTGTTGTAGACCAAAGCAGTTTTTAATCAATCAAATGAGAGCAACATATATTCATCGCGTACAGAAGGATTATCCCACAGCAAGCTTGCTTTCTGAGCATTACTCTCTGTCCCGTCACCCCCCCCCCCCCCCACTTTTCCAGGGCACCGTAAGTAGCATGCACAAGGTGACATGTGTCCCTGCCTATCTTCTTTATCCAAGAATGCTTGCATTCTGGAATTTCTATTCTTTATTAGATGGCTGCTAATGCAGGGCACTTAATTTTGACTTCTTCCTTCTGTAAAATGAAGAAGCTGTTTGTTTTCTCTCTCTTGATTAGTCTAGGCCGTAAACCTCTTGGACACTTTCACAGCACGCGCAGAGCAGGAGAAACATGCATATCAGCCTTCAACCATCAACTTGAAATACAAAAAAAGACTTTTTAAAAAATGATTTATTTTTTTAATTTTATGTTTATAAATGCTTTGCCTGCATGTAGTTTATGTACCATGTGCCCATGGAAGTCAGACGAAGAACTGGAGTTACAGGTGTTTGTGAGCCATCATGTAGGTGCAGGGAATTGAACCCAGGGCCTTTGCAAGAGCCATCAGTGCTCTTAACCACTGAGCCATCTCTCTAACCCTCAGGAAAGACTTTTAATGTGAAATAGTCATTTCTCAGTTGGGTCCTCTCCCAGGTCCTATTTTAAGGGACTCTGGGCCTTGTATCACCTATGTGACCCAAGTTGCCTTTGAAGGTCTTTGTATACTAATGTAGAGGTGGAGCCCCTCATTTGTGTTTTCCTACCAGGGTGGGGTTAGATCTTCGGTAGCTACCTTCTTCTGAAAGTCAGTGTAATCTAAGCAGTTTCATTAAGATATAGAGCTCAGAGGTTCTGAGATGTTACTGATAGGCCATAGTTTTTGATATACGTCTGTGCAGATTTCTGCATCTACATCTACAAGGATTGTCAGTTTCAGAAATTGATTTAAGAATGTCCAAACTGTCCGTCCAAGTGTGCAGAGGGGGAGGCAGGAGTGAGCATGTGTCCTTAGCCTGCTTGACATGGTAAGTGGACACCGCTACATGTTATAGTGTGTATGCCGCCCTGGATGGGTAGTTAGTTCCACCATTTTATTGAAATATACCATCAGTTGAGTTTCATGCTGCTTTCCCTAGGGAAGGATGTGGATAGAGATAGTGTGGTTAGGTCTTCTGCAATCTGAAATTTGCACGAATTGTAAAAACGGTATAAATGATATAGACTAGTTGGTCAAGACAGCTGTTAAACTCTTTCTCTTACTGATTTGCAAAGACAGAAGAGAAAAAGTACATGAATAAATAGTAAAAGCATTGGAAGCTCAGCTGTGACTGTCAAGGAGGCTCTGGTGAGGGAGTGGCTGTAGACAACGGGACAGAAATTTAGAGGCTCCTCCTGTTCCCTAGGAGAGAAGCACCATAAAGGCTTTACTCTGCTAAAATCAGTTCACTGGGAGGTCTTTGTCACTTTGGGGCAGCTCCATGAGGGCATCTGTAACCCTGCCTTTTCCAGCGTCCAGAGCTACTCACAGTCCTGGGCACATGGCTCCTCTTCCATCTGTAAAGCCAGCACAGCTGTCCGAGGGAGTCTTTCTTAAGCCGCCGTCACTGCTACTGGAGGCTCCTCTCACTGGAAACCCAGCATCTGAAGGAGGGATGTTGTTGGTTTTGGTTTTTCAAGACGGTTTCTCTGTGTAGAAGCCTGTCCTGGAACTCGCTCTGTAGACCAGGCTGGCCTTGAATTCACAGAGATCTGCCTGCCTCTGCCTCCTGAGTACTGGGATTAAAATTGTGCGCAGCCGCCACCACCACCCTGCGTGAGGGAGGAATGTTGAGGATAAAGAACGTAAAAGGAAAAGACGGAGCTTTGTTCACAAATGAGCATCACTCTTCCAGAAGGATCATGGGTGGCAATTATGAGGGGAGTGGCTAAGAAATGGGGAAATGTTCATGTCTCTTCCAAGAACGACAGGGATCTTCCAGGAACTGGTGCCCCTTCTCTTCCCTCTTTCCATGGTCTGGAATTTCCAGTCACGGCTGATTAAATATCTTTAGCTTTGAAGCCAGAGGAGAGAGATTTAAGTCTAGGTCACACAAGGCTTATATTATAGTTCTGGACAAAATATTTATCAGTGACCACTGTTTATGCAGAGCATAATAGGATTACCTAAGGCAAGGCTGCCAAGGAGACAGACACCAACCTCTTGTCCTGCTCTGGTCACCCATGAACTACTTACTGCACACTAAGTGAAGAATAACTTCTTAGTAAAAGGGGCCCAGGGAGCATGTATCCCCACACAGCAGAGGTCTTATCTATGGCAAACCAACAATGTGTGGCTTACCTGTGTGACCTCCAGATTGGCTGATCCCCACCTTGATTTCTGAGGGAGAGCTTCATTAGATAGCCCACCCTGGCCTTGAACTCATGATCCCTGTGCCTGGGATCATGGGCATGTATTGCCGACATGTAAGTAGGAGCAAATGAAGCTAGAGGACTGATTGATGTTCCCCTCTGTCACTCCACCTCTGACCTTGCTTTGTTTCTTCTTGTCTCTAACTGTGGCCACAAGAGCGTTCCGGGTTCCAGGCACCAGCATGATTAACATCCTGAACGGTCTCCCTGTCTCCAGTCCCTTCTCTGTGTGTCTGAGCACAGCCATCTGTCTAGGAGTCAGGATGTAGACATTTCTCTGGGCCCAGCAGGAAGTAAAGTGAGCGCTACAGGGCCTTGCCCTGGGTCCTGGTAATGACTGGATCCAGAGAGCTGAGCTAGTTTACAAGCTGGAAGCACCGGTCAGACTTGGGCAATCTTTTTTCTCAAAGCATGAAATTTTTAATTTTGTGTCTATTATTGAACACTCTAATCTAATCGTAGTTGGTATAGTTTATATTCTCCTCAGTTTCCTAGACTTCACCTTCATGAAGACTCACAACTTCTGAGCTGGACAGTGGCTGGCAGCTTAGTTGGACCCTGTAGTTGGAGATGGCTTCACCTGCAGAGGCACTTTGCCCAAGCCCATTCCGCTCTGCAGGGACAACCTGTCGCCCCAGTTGCTCAGCTGGGGTATGTGGTATAAAGCCTAGCTGTTGGCTTATGCTCTGAGGGGCCATCCAGCTCAGGGCTCCCCAGCTGGCAGATGCCCGTGACGCTTTTCCTGGTTGACACATCTTAGAATGCCAGGGCCTGTTTCCTAGGGAATGGACCATTTGAACTTTCTGCCCCTTCCCATTTTCTTTTGTTTTTGCCTGGGTGTTTTTTGTCTGTGCAATGACAGTTTTGAGTGAAGGTTAGGTTTCTGCATGATCACTTGGGATGTTCCCTTCCTGTGGAGGACTCACTGCTGGCAGGTTTCCCCCAGCCTGGGAACAGCGGTCTGCTCCGTCTTCCTCTGTCAGACCAAGGGTTGAGAGCATGCACAGCCGCTCTGGTTACAATTCTGCTCCCTCTTACCGAGTTCCTGTGTGGTGAGGGCTGTGCCAGCTTCTCTGTGGTGGGCCCTGACCTGTGCATGTTCTCGTCTCAGCTTTCCTCAGACTTCAACCTGCAGGTTCAGTGTCGCCAATCCTGGGCCTCTTCACAGACTCTGAGGTCTTGAGGCAGACTGTATTTTGTGCAGCTTTTCTAGTTCTCTGCAGGGAAGAGGGCTTAAACTACCTGCATTGCATTTGCTGGAAGCCTTTTCTGTTGTGTTGTGTTGTTTGATGAAGTGTAATTTGTTGAACTAATCTATTTATTGCTGACATGGTGGTTTTATTACACAACTTAACTATTGCTGGGTAAATAATTTGTATCTTTATTGCTTAGATTAGTGCCCACTTAGAGTTCTTTCACGTACGGATTTGAAGTGCAATTGTGTTGGAAGTGTGCAGTCGCCTCTAGACACTGCTGATTTATCCTTCATCACAGCAGATGAGAAGAGCCGACTTGTCTGTGCCTCTTAAGCCTAACTTCATAAATGTGTGTGCATTTCTTCCCTCCTCAGGCACGCGCTCTGACACCTCAAACTGCGGAAACAGATGCCATTCGCTTCTTGGTTGGGACACAGTCTCTTAAATATGATAATCAGGTAACTATTTCTGACAAATGTATACATGTTAATTACTAAGCTTATTCTTAGTTTCATAGCCATTTTGCTCTTGATTTTTCAAGCAACACTTAAAAAAATTTAATGCCATACAAACAAAATTTTCATTAGATTTAAGTATATATTTCCAAGTCTTAGCTATTATCCAACTGTATAATCATCGAGTACAATAATTTAAACGTTCTGTTTAGTGCTTCTTTTTTATGTGTATGTATGGTGTATGTACGTGTTTGTGTGTGTGTATGCATAGGTGCATGTGTATGTGTGAAGTTAGAGACTGACTTTGGGTATCTTCTTCAATTGTATTTTCTCAATCTTTCTCTCTCTCTCTCTCTCTCTCTCTCTCTCTCTCTCTCTCTCTCTGTGTGTGTGTGTGTGTGTGTGTAAAAATAACAGAGTAAGACCTGGAACTATGTAGATCAAGCTGGCCTCAAACTCCAAGAGATCTGTCTGCCTCTGCTTCCTAAGTGCTGAGATTAGAGATGTGTGCCACCATGCCAGGCAGTATCTTATATATTGAGATGGGGTTGTTCATCAAACCTAGAGCTCATTGATTTGGCCAGATTCGTGAGCTTCAGATATCTGTCTCTCTGCTTCTCTAGTGCTAGGATTGTAGGTTTGTGCCATCAAGCTTGGCTTTTCTTGGCAATCCAAACTCAGGTCTTCATGATCATGCAGCAAGCAGTTTAACGAGTGTGCCATCTTCCTCAGCCCTGTTTAGTTACCCTTTGTTTATTTATTTTGGTTTTTTTTTTTTTGAGCAGGGTTTCTCTGTAGCTTTGGAGCCTATCCGGAACTCTCTCTGTAGACAAGGCTAAACTTGAACTCACAGAGATCCTCTTGCCTTTGCCTCCCGAGTGCTGGGACTAAAGGTGTGTGCCACCACCGCCCAGCCGTGTTTAGTTACTTGATAGTTTGGTTTGGTTTTATGGTCGCATAGATTTTACTGTATAAGGATTAAGAAGCAGTCTGGGGATCATGATCATTAGGTCATTTCTGACTGCTCCTAGTACTGTGTGTAGCTAAACCTGGAACAGGTCATGCTCCCATCTCAACGAGGACATAGGAGCTGGTGTTGGCTGGTGTGGAGAATGCAGTAGATACATGGGGATCTGGATTTAGTTTGTGGCTTAGTACTAACTGCATGACCTTGAACAAATGGATTAACTTTGCTGAACTTCATTTTCCTCATCAAAATGGAAATAAACATGCCTGCTTTATGAACCTCACAGAGAAACCATAGACACCATGAAAATGTACATTATTCTTGATACTCGGAAAAGAAAGGTATGTAAGGCCATGGTAGTCATGGTAGAAGGCCTCTATCCAGCTAATATTTTCACATAGGTGATGGTGTTAACAGTTGTTGATGAATACTGGTGCGGCATAGGCTTGGTGAAGTGTCACTTGTGTGTGCTGCTGAGGAGTGTAGAATGGCAGTCATTTCTAGACAGAGTTCTGTAAGTGAACATCTGTCACCTAACATGAAATTTTCGTATCTACAGCCTAGAATAAGCTTTGTGTATAATGTTAGCTTCAGTGGTACTCAGAAAAGCCGAGAAGTGATCAGAACATGGAAATGTGCACTTTAGGTGTGCCAGTAGGGCGGCAGCCTCCTTCCTTACTCTGGACACGCTCCGTGGGCTAGTGTTCATTCTCTCTGCTCGCTGAGGGACATGGTGACTCACGGCTATAAAAACCAACACTTGGGGCTGGAGAGATGGCTCAGTGGTTAAGAGCATTGCCTGCTCTTCCAAAGGTTCTGAGTTCAATTCCCAGCAACCACATGGTGGCTCACAACCATCCGTAATGAGGTCTGGTGCCCTCTTCTGGCCTGCAGACATACACACAGACAGAATATTGTATACATAATAAATAAATAAAATGTTAAAAAAAAAAAAACCAACACTTGAGAAACCGAGGCAGGAGGATCACTTGTTCAAGGCCAGCCTGGGCTATATAGGAAGAATACAAAAACTCTATTTTTATGGGGGAGATGGGGCAGGATTAAGAGCAAAGCTGTTAAAATTTTTCATGAAAATGTGTGTTTGAGGGGCTAGAAAGATTGGCCCAGTGGTTAACAACACATATTGTTCTTGCAGAAACCCGAGTTCAGTTTCTGGCACTCAGGTCAGGGACAACTGCCTGTAGCTCTAGCCCAGGGATATCCAGTGCCATCTTCTGGCCTCTTCATGCTCTGTGCTCACGTGCACAAACCCCCACTCAGACACATACATATAATTAAAAAATAATGGGCTGAGAAAAAATACAACTGAAAATGCTTTTAGTGGTGGGTAGGGGGATGTGGAGAGATGGCTCAGAAGTTTAGAGCACTGGCTACTTTTTCAGTGGACCTAGGTTTGGTTCCCAGCGCCCACATGGTAGTTCACAGCCACTGGTAACTCTAGTTCCAGGGAATCCAATGCTCTCTTTTGGCTGCTTTGGGCACTAGAAACATGTGGTACGCGGATAAATATTTAGGCAAAACAGCCAGACATAGAAAATAAAGTCTTTTTTAAAAAAGATACGTGTTTGTGGTCTCTGAATCTACCCACAGGGCATGTGGGAACTTCCAGATTCCTTCCCAGGGTTTCTGAGCCTGCCTCTCTCCAGTTGTGCCATGGGACAGCATCCCCTTCTTCTTCCCTAGCTTGGAAGCAGCTGTTGACTCTGCTCCTACCTGTCCTCTGGGTTAAGTGGCTTCAGTGTAGGGCTCCTCTTGTAGGGTTCTGGTCAGTTCTTTCCTGTATCTATTTTCCCCCAATTCTATCCCACTCTTCTGTGACACTCATTGGACATTTTCTGAGGACTAAGGGTCTTTTAATGCCTGTCACCCTGTCACTAAGTAGTTGTCACAGATGACTTTATGTTAAGGAAGGTTAGACACCTTGGTAACAGTCTTTTAATTCTTTTAGCTTTAGTTTTAATTATGTGTATGTGTGTGCATCTGTTTGGGGTATGAGCCTACAAGTGCAGGAGTCGAGAAGGTCAGAGGTGCCCTAGTCCTCTGCAGAAGCAGTACATGCTCTTAATGGCTGAGCTGTCTTTCCAGCCCCCATGGTTATTTCTAATACAAAAAACACATTTGCTTATTTTACAAGGAAATACTACAATGTCCTAGACTTTGTTTGGCATTTGTTATATTTGTAGGCAATCCAATCAAATTATTTTTCTTTGAAAAAAAATGATAATGTGTGGGACTTTGGTGCCTGCAGCTCCAGTTCTGTGATTTTTGCCAGAGTGGATCCCATGGGCGTTTAGGTTTGGATGTCAGGGAGATCTGCCTCAAAACACATTGCCAGTTTGCCTGCTAGAGGGACTTGAAGTCAATACCCCAGAACTTTCCATAGAGCTCATGGGTCCTTGTCCTGTGTGTGCTATGGCCCTCAGCTGGGGGTATGTTGTAATACAGTGGCACACGAAGGGTCTGCAGAATTGTGAAGGGAAATCCATCCAGGAGCTGTGCAGGTGTGTGCAGGTCAAGGACTTCCCAGCAGTCCACTTTATCAGCACTCCTGAGCACCCCAGGACTCACTGCTGGTTACTCTTCCTGAGATTGTCTACGTGGAGCAGGCTAGACATGTGAATCATATCAGGAGAGACAGAGACCAAGATGGCCAGTCCCGTTCTCAGTTTATTGCCTTTGCAAGTCACGCTCTTCATTGTCTGAGAATTCTTGTCTCTCATGATGAATTGATTATGCCCCCATCATGCTGTACTTGAGGTTGGAGAGATGGGTTAACAATAGGAACACTGGCTGCTCTTGTGGAGAACCCAGGTTTGATTCTCAGCATCCACAAGGGGGCTCACAACCATCTGTATCTCCAGGCCCAAGGGATCAGATGCCCTCTCCTGGCCTCCACAGGCACTGCATGCATGTAGTATGCAGCCCCACCTAGAGGCAAAATACCCATATAGATAAAATAAAAATAAAGGTTAAAAAATGCTATACTTAGGTATTTCTGAGCTTTAGGCTTACATCTAAATGAGGCACTAAAGAGACAGCTGGTGGCATCTGATCAGTTATCTCGCTAGCCTTGGCTTCATGACACAAAAGAATATTCATCTTACTCATTGCTTTGAAAGACACAGTCACAGATCTTGGGGTCCTGGGATTTAGGGTATGTTGGATCCTCTGTGCTGACAAGCATCTTTGGTGTTCATGTCCTGGGGTGGAAGACTCAAGGAAATTAGTATATGTAGGGAGCCACAGCCTTCACCTAATACACATTGGGGAAAGTGTGACTTATTTAATAATGTTGCCATTTTTTAAATTACATTCATAGATGAAGGATGGACATTGGTTTTAGCTAAACGGATTTAGAAATCCAATTCTGTAAATTTACAAATGTTGAAGTAAGAGCCCAGAAGGACTTGCTGACTCGCTTAAGGTAACACAGCCAGGAAGTGGCAGAATTCAGGCTGGAACTCAGGTTTCCTGCCTCATGTGATAGAGGGAAACAGACTGTAGTGTTTTTGGTATCATTAGAGAAAATTAGTGAGACATGACCATGAAAATGGCCTGCCTTTTCCAGCTTTGGCCCAGGAGGACTGTCATTGTCACTGACCTGAGTTGAGAGCTGGTTGTAGTCATGGGGCTTCAGGCAGTGAGAGCTTGTGAGTGGCTGGGGGAGACATTTCTTCACCTGGGCCAGGCCCGTGGAAGACTGGAAAAGGCAGCAGTCGGTGTGTTAGGATCTGCATGGGGCGCCACCAGAGCCAAGAGGCTCTTTAAGTGTGTAGCTTTGATGGGTGTGGGTCCAGGTTCTGTGAGTACCTGTGAGGGCAGCAATGGATGGCAGGGGCCCCCTTTAATCCTATTTTTGAGACAGGATCTCCTTACTATACTTAGCCCACTCCCCATAGACCAGCTGTGAGCTGTGGGGTCCTGTCTCCACCCCACTGTGTTGGGGTTGCATATGCCTGCATTCACACGTTTTTACCTGGGTTCTGGGGAATCCGAATCAGGTCCTCTTGCTTGTCTGGCAAGCACTTCCCTCACCAAGCCATCTTCCCGTTTACTTATTGTGTGTGAGAAGTCAGAGGACAACGTATGGAAGTCAGGTCTTTCCTTTCCCCATCTAGGCTCGAGGGATCAAATTGAAGCCATCAGGTCAGGTGGCAAGTGCCTTTGCTTCATGAGCCATCTTGTGGGACCCTGGTTCTGACTTTTAACTTTTTGTAACAGGATCTCACCATATAGTCCTTGCTGGCCTAGTACTTGCTCTGTAGGCCAGGCTGGCCTCAACCTCACAGAGATCTACCTGCCTCTACCTCTCCAGTGCTGGGATTAAGGGCGTGTGCCACCACCCACTTTTGATTTGTTTTGTCCAGTGTCCCCAGTCCTTAGCAGCCCTACCACTCATGGTCTCTGTTACTTTAAATTTGTCTCATCTTCGGTTGAACTGAGCTCAAGGGCAGGAAGAAACTCACAGACACTCCTGCTTTTTCTCACAGGGAAGGGCACTGTCTGTGTGTGCTGGGTTTGCTTGTGCTAACTGGCCTGCTCAACATTGTACATGGCCGGCACCAGCCATTTTAGGCCACTGCTGAGATTGCATTCCACACTGATGAGTGCAGAGCAATTCTTGGAAGAGGATGGGGCCATTTTTATACTAAACACTGCAGAGGAGGAAGAATCGAGGATGAGCAAAAGGCCTTCTGAAGCCACACCACACAAATATGCTGTTAGCTATTGTGCAAAAACTTTAGTATTAAGTGTTTGCTTTGGCACACACCATTAATCCCAGCACTTGGGAGGCAGAGGCAGGCGGATCTCTGAGGGTTTGAGGCCAGCCTGATCTATAGAGTGAGTTCTAGAACAGGCTCCAAAGCTACAGAGAAACCCTGTCTCAAAAGAAAAGAAAAGTTTGTTTTGATAGCAAAAGTCACACATATTTGTCATTAGAAAAACCATTAAAAATGCAAAGCCCGTAACGTCAAAGGCAAAGACTGTGACTCCTACCTCCAGAGAGACTCTTTTAATTCTCCTCAGCTGGGGACACGTGTGCTTTTTTAAACAAAAATGGGTGTCATGTTTGGTGTAGTCCTTTTTATGTTCCTGTCTTCTTTTTTTTTTTTTTTTTTTTTTTTTTTTTTTTGGTTTTTCGAGACAGGGTTTCTCTGTGGCTGTGGAGGTGGAGCCTGTCCTGGAACTAGCTCTTGTAGACCAGGCTGGTCTCGAACTCACAGAGATCTGCCTGCCTCTGCCTCCCGAGTGCTGGGATTAAAGGCGTGCGCCACCATCGCCCGGTTGTTCCTGTCTTCTTAAATCTGTATTATGGACATCTTTCCACACTGCTAAATAGTCTACCAGGTACTACCATGGGGTCCTACCACAGCTAAGTACAGACAAACATCTGAACTCATCCTGGGCATCAAGGTGGCTTTGACCCTTTCATTACAGTAATCAATGCCAATGGGGAGCTTTCTTGGAAGAAACCTGTAGAGCCATGCATTTTCTTAGTATATGTATATTTTTGTGAACGTCTTCTACTGGCTTGAGTGCTGGTCAGAGATTGAATGTGAAAATCATTATATTTCCTCTAATTTTTCTCTAGTAAAGCGTGGAGATGGTGTAGTTACCCTTGTTACTCAGAGACCTGAATTTCACAGTCTGGTAATTAATAGTGTATAACCATGGGTGCTGATATGCTGGCCTCACTTTTAAAAAGAAATAAAAATGTACTAAAACAAAGTCCCACCTACCTCAGTCACTGCTGCCTTGAGTTGAGTCTTGCCCATAATAGAGGGACCAGTATAGCTCACCTAGTTCCCACTGGGGACCAGCCCCCACGGCCAGCTCACCTGGTTCCCGCTGGGCACCAGCCCCCATGGCCAGCTCACCTGATTCCCGCTGGGCACCAGCCCCCATGGCCAGCTCACCTGGTTCCTGCTGGGCACCAGCCCCCATGGCCAGCTCACCTGGTTCCTGCTGGGCACCAGCCCCCATGGCCACCCTGGACCTCAGCTGACAGCATTCCTTTGCCATTTTCTGTCCTCCCTGCAACCACAGAGCAGGCCCGAGAAACTGCGAGGTTGATACTAGCGTGCCCTCATCCCTCAGCCTCTTGAGAGCAGAGGCTTTAGCATCTGAGGTTTTTAGATGGGAGAAAAGCAGCTGGCAGCATTATACAGCTTGGCATTGTGGAAGCACTCTGTGGGGCTTTTCCCCTCTGCCCTTGGGAGGGGGTCTGTGAGAACTGAACTGCAGGGGTGTCCTGTTCAAAGTGCAGCCATCACTACGTTTGCATGTGGTTCTTTATAATCACGGTGCTTATTAAGGTGCTGAGGAAAGCCTTTGAGATGCTGATTGTCCTTTTCTTCTATTTGTAGATCCATATCATAGATTTTGATGATGAAAATAACATTATAAATAAAAATGTCCTCCTCCATCAAGCTGGTGAGATCTGGCACATCAGTGCCAGCCCAGCAGATAAAGGCGTGCTGGCCACCTGCTACAACAAAAGTAAGTGCCCTGCTTATTATTCTGTGTGTGTGTCAGCTGGGGGTGTCATGTGACAGTGATTTTATATTGCTAATGGGTCTGTGGGCAATTTAGAAGTTGTGGCCATTTACCTAGGCGCTACCCTTACATACTGTGACACTTGGAGTAGATGTTTGTGGTCCAGGGTTGTTTTTTATTCCAGGAACACTACTAGGTCCTAAAAGTTGCACTCTGCTCTGGTGTGAGCCACACAACCCCAAGCGTGGCAACGACTTGCCTCCTTCCTACTCCCTGATGTTGGGGACACTGGGTGTCCTCAGCTGCCATGCAGCCTTCTCTGACAGCAGCAGTGCTGCGTGCACATGCCAGTGTCTATCCATGTGCCTGCAGGCCTCCGCCTGTAACCTAATGCTCCAGTCTCTGGGGCCTTCAGCTTTTGTGTCAGACAGGCAGTGAGCTAACCTCACTTCTCCCTCAGCTGTCCTTGCTTTGTCTATTCGCTGACTTCTGATGCCGGTTTCAGAGGAGACCCTCTGATGCCGGGGTCCATTGCTTTCTGTTGGGTGTCTACCAGGAAGCCTTCAGGCACCTTCTGATTAGACTCTGCCTCCTGAGTATGCTCATGTTCACTTCTTTCTGTCTCAACTTCAAGCCATCCTGTCTGTATTTTAAATATACAGTCTCTTATTTAGGTCAGAAAAGCAAAAGAAGTTTTCTGAGAGGCCTTTTTCTCCACTGGAACCTTTTTCCTTTCTTTCTTCCTCCATAGCCCAAGTTGGTCTTGAGTTCTTAACCTTCCATGTGCTTGTGTTACAGAGTGTGTGCTGACACACCCTGGTGTTCCCCATATCCTTCATTTTTTACTCTTAGCTTTTTACATTATGTTACTCCATTTGTTGGGAAGGCCTTCACATTGAATTTCCCTACCTTAGTTACTCTTCTATTGCTGTGAAGAAACACCCTGACCAAGGCAGTTTATACAAAAAGCATTTAAGAACACGCTTACAGTTTCAGAAGGTGAGTCCATGAGCATCATGTTGGGGAGCATGGCGGCAGGCAGACAGGAAGACATGGCACGGGAGCAGTAGCTGAGAGTGTACCTGTTATTACAATGACTGTGAGGCAGAGGGAGAGAGCTAACTGTTAATGGAATGTGCTTCTGAAACGTCAAAGCCCACTTCCAGTGACACACACCCTCCAATAAGGCCACACCTTCTAATCCTTTCCAAACAGTTCCACCAACTGTGAACAAGCAATCATATGTATGATTCTAATTCAAACTGCCCCACCCTAGACTTCCCCTTCATCATGGAGCTGCTTTAGGAGGTGTTAGTCTACCTGCTGCTCTGTCTGTGGACACAGCTTTCCCGCATGTCTTCATCTTGGTGTGTCTGAGATGGTGAATTTGTCATACCCCTACCTAGCTGCTGTGTTGAACAGTGCTGCAAATGCTGCCCCACATCACTTGAGCAGACTCTGTTTACCTCTGAAGGTGACCTGTATGTAGTCACCTCGATCTGATCATTGCTTCTGTTCTGTGGCTGCCACATCCATCCCAGCATTCTGCCTCCACCTAATCCAGCCCTCCTCCTTTAGGGAAACTGCAGCTGTTCATACTTAAAGAGAGCTGTGCTCTGTGCATCAAGACAGTGGTCTCCAGGAAGCCACGTTTAGACCTGAGGCTGTGTTGAAAGGAGCAGCGGGCTGCGTTCCTGCCACCTGGCTCCCGGCCGCCTGGCTAGCTTATGCCCTGAAATAACAACACACAAATTGTATTCATTTAAAAACTGCTTGGCCCATTAGCTCTAGCCTCTTACTGGCTAACTCGCACATCTTGATTAACCCTTTCTATTAATGTGTGTAGCACCACGAAGTGGTGACTTACCAGGGAGATTCTAGCCTATGTCCATCTTGGGTCAGAGCTTCATCGTGTCTGCCCTGAAGAGGAGCGGCATGGTATCTGCCTCACTTCCTCTTCCTCCCAGCATTCTGTTCTGTTTACTACACCCACCTATGTTCTAACCTATCAGGCCAAGCAGTTTCTTCATTAATTAACCAATGACCTTCCTCCATCAAGGCTGATCTTTATGATTAGATCAAGTCACCTTCACTTTGACATATTGTGCGGTGCTCACGGTCACAGGACATTCCTTCCCTTGGCCACATCAACCCAGCTCTGAGCAGACTGCAGGTCCTGCTGCACTCAGGGTCGTGTACTTGGGGTTGTGTGAGGTGAGCCCTGGCTGTGGCAGACCTAGTCCTTTACTTCAGAGGCCTAGCCACAGGACGTGCCGGGTATCCAGGATGCACCAAGAGAGGGGGTGGGGGCAGAGCCTACTCTGATGCTATTTGCAGCACAGCCACTCAGACACAGTTGCTCTCCAGCTGGTGACTTGAGGCCCCAGGTGATTGGCTGCCCCACAGGCTGTGCACAGTGGTAACCAGGTATGGTCACTATGGGCATCCATTCAGAGAGGGATGGAAGACAGCAGGAACTATGGGTCACATGGGTTCATGAATTCACTGGGTATCTCTCTGGAGGTCTCAGGATTAGGGCCTCCAGGAACATTGTCCTTCATAGGCTTGCTGTCCTCCACAAACTTTTTGTCTGCCTAGGCTCTCTGTCTCCAGAGGCTCTCTGTTGTCTCCAGAGGCTCTCTGTTGTCTCCAGAGGCTTACTGTCCTTCTGGCCATACCACCCTCCCAGGCATGACGTCCTGAGATTAGCCTGTTTAGATTTGGTGTGCAGAACTGAGCTTTCCAGTCATCATTGTTGCTGACTCCTCTCAACAGCTCTTGCCTCACCTTGTATCACTCCTCTCACAGTCTGCCATACCCATCTGTTGGCAGGGCCAGCTTCACTCTGCAGGCCGAGGCCGGGGCAGCCTTGCTGTGTCTTCTGCCAGAATGTGAGCACTTCTCACTTCCTTCTAGGCCTTGGTGCCTGTCATGGACTCTGCAACGGACTGTTGAATTCATACCATTTTTGTTGATCTCCATTTCTTTTTGGGTTTTTGAGACAGGGTTGTTCTATAGCTTTGGAGCCTGTTCTGGAACTAGCTCTATAGACCAGGCTGGCCTCGAACCCACAGAGATCTGCCTATCTCTGCCTCCCAAGTGCTGGGATTCAAGGCATGCACCACCACCACCTGGCTTTATTTCCATTTTTAAAATTAATTATTTTTCCCAGCCTGATTACAGTTTCTGCTTCCTCTGTTGTCTCCTCCTAGTCTCTGCCCCATCCTCCTCTCTTCCCCCATCTACTTCTTCCTCTTTCTTTTCAGGAAAGTCCAGGTCTCTCATGTATATCATCCAGCCATGGCTGATAGCAAGTTGCAGTAAGACTAGGCTCCTCCTCTCCTATTAAGGCTGGACGAGGCAATCCAGTAAGAGTCCCAAAAGCAGGCAACAGAATTAAAGATAATCTCTGCTCCCTCTGTTAGAAACCCCACAAAAAGACCAGGCTCCACAGCTGTAACACGTGTGCAGAGGTCTGGGTCAATCTCACACAAGTTCTCTGGTTGGCCCTATGTTCAGTTCAGTCTCTGTGAGCCCCTACGAGCCCACGTTAGCTGATCCTGTGTGTTTTCTTGGCCCTTTGGCTCCCACAAGCCTTCTTCCTTCTCCTCCACAGGATTCCCTGAGGGGCAACCTAATGTTTGGCTGTGGGTCTCTGCATCTGTTTCCATCAGTTGTTGGGTAAAGCCTCTCTGATGATAATTGGGCTAGGCAGCTATCTATGAGTACAGCAGAATATCACGAGAAGTTATTTCATTGGCTTTTCTTCCTTTTTGCCAGTCATGTTTACTTCTATCCTAGGTCTCTGGGCTGTCCAGCCTTTGGGTCCTGGCCCTCCAGCAGTGCTAAGGGTGGGCTCCCTTTCATAGTATGGGTCTTTAGCTGGACTAATCATTCCTATAATTTTTGCGCCCCCTTTGTCTCAGAATATCTTGTAGGCAGGGTAACTTGTAGATGAGAGGCTCTGTGGCTGGGTTGGGGTCCCAGTCTCTTCACAGGAGATGGCCAGCTCATGCTCTGCAGTTGCCATTGCTAGGAGTCTTAGCCAAGTCACCCTCATAGACTCCTAGGAGTTCCTTCCCATCGCACCACATTTCCAGCTCATCCCAGAGATGCCCCTGGTTCCAGTTGTCTTTCCCAGTGCTCTCTCCCTCCATCCTCACCAACCTGATCCTCCTGTTCCCACGCACACCTCTCCATCCAGACCTCTCCCCCGTCTACCTGTGATGTCTTCTCTGTTTCCACTTCATGGTGAGATTCACCATAAAGTAAGGGATAATCATGTTATAATCCACAGACCCAAAGAAGCTAAATATCAGGAAGACTCAAGGGAGACACATGAATCACTGTTTCTTTTTAACTTTCCTTCCAACTGCTGGGATCTGAAGCAGCTGCCTTCTGTAGGCTTTGGTACTACAGCACCCCCTGCACAATTCAGTGTACTTTGAGAAGCTGCCACAAAGATGGGCTATGAGGCAGCACTTCTGCACCCAGGGTCCAGAGGTACATAACGATGGCTTAGCAGATATTCTGCTAAGTCTCATGGCAAGTGTTAGGTGGGACTGGATTTGGAGTCTTGTTGCCATCCTTGGTTGTGGGTAGAATTAAGTTCCTAGGGCTTCTGGGTCTGAATGTCAGATTTTCTTGACTTTCCACTTGGGTCTTGCCAGCTCCTCAGGCAGTATGAGGCTGGCAGTGTTTGAGCTGCTTACCTGCAGTATTAGCAGCAACAGCAGCAGTGGCAGACTGGTATGAAGAGGAAGCCTTCATCCTGGTTTGCTGCCATGTACGTTAGTTCCTTCCAGTTACCCCGAATGTCAGATCTTTGCGAAACTGGCTTTTTCCCCACTAGATGTTAAAGGCAGCCTGGCCCACCGTTCAGTATTGTCCTCGTCTGTTGCCAGCTCTGGGAAGGAGGAAGTTGGACAGTATTCAAGTCTGAATCCCAGGAACCCTGTCTGTAGGTTCGGTCTGCAGGAAGCCCTGATTTCCAGAATGTTGAG